AAAAAAAAAATCTACAGGCTATCTCAAACCCTCCCCCACTTACCTGATCTGTAGGCTGTCTCTGGCTGCATGTGTTGCTCCCCTGCGGTTTCAATCAGCAGAGAGAAGCAGGGATAAGATGCAGCTTCCTATCCCTGTCTCTCTCCATACACAGCGCCACCTACTGGCCGGCGCCGGTATTGCAGTTCATTCTAAATCTCACACAAAAAAAGCAGAACAAGCTGAAAAATCCAGGGGGGGGCAAGTGCCCCCCCTGCGGACGCCCATGCCGGCAAGTGGACCCCGGCAACAAAAAACACTATTCAAACGTCCACTGACGGTAACCCTTCTTCCCCAGTACAGTATGCTGTTGGTTTTTTCGAACGCTATGTCGCCTCCTACTTGCTTCTGCCACGCTTGTCCAACTGCTCACTGCATCGCAATCACTCCACTCCTCAGTTACACAACTCCTCACGGTGCGTGCGTCAACACGTCCTCACGCACCTGAGACACATGACTTTCAATGCCCACTTCAAGATCATTTAAAACCAGATTAAAGCGAAGTGGACCCAGGGGAGAACCCTTAGGTACTCCATTTAGCACTTTTGTCCAGTTGTGGTAGACTGTGAATATATAGGCATTAGATGACTGCATCATTTGAGCGATTTACACAGTAAATCACACTTATTTGACCCTGGATGTCCTTTAGTCCTCTATTTTTTTATTTATTTTTTTAATATTCTTTATTTTTCTCAAAACACAGTAGTTATCAACATGTGTTCGCATAGCGAAGACTGTTTGAGTACCACTTGAAAAGCATATTAGAGAGTAGATTATACATCAAAAGAATAAGTGTGTTCGTGAATTGAGGAGTTTAAATTTTTTTTTGAGTATAAGCCTGCCTATAGGTCGTATGAGTGAGATAGCCACAGAACTGCATGTCAGGAGTGTGGTACATGTGGTAGGTGTGTATGTCCCTCCCTCAGGGAGAAGTAATGGGACCTGCGCGCCATTTAAAGTTAGGGAAGGAATGGGGGAGAGAATTGTCAGTGGTATTGTCACTAAGTGCCTGGACGGTATTTGTACCTAATCTATGCCGTGTGTATACAGGTGAAGGGGTTGGGCCTACCGAGTAGCTCCTATTCCGAGTGACATTGCAGCATTAGTGCTCCGCTCTGTACCTTCACTAGCCAAAAGCGTATACAGTAGAGGGAGGTATGGCAAAAGTAAAACAATAAAAGTAAATCAACAAAAGCTAAATAACAATGGAAAAGTGTAAATCAAACTTAAAGTCATGAGGTCAACAGGGTTGATGAGGTGGAGCTGCTGGGAAAGTCCCTGGCTGTGTAGAGGGTCTTGGATAAGGGCACAGCAGCTGCTGGGGCCCGATAGCCCCTCAGTCAAGTCACAGTTCCGGTGAATGGAGTGGGTCTTGCCTCCCGGGGTGTGAACTCCCTGATCGTAGCCAAGTCCATATGTGACAGGCTCCTGCCTTCAGTGGCGTTGCATAGGGGGATTCCCAGCGACTGCAGTTGATCCTCCAGCTCCTGGTAGGTTTCTGCGCAGAGAGTAGTGTCTTGGGCCCTTATTAGGACCGTGCGGTAAGGGCCCCATTGATATGGCACCTCTTTAGCGCGTAGCTGATAAAGTAGTGGTCGCAAGGATTGGCGCCACAGGAGTGTGTTCTTGGAGAGATCTGAAAGAGGAGCAGTGAGGCGCCCCTGAAAGGTGATGGGCGTCTTCCCTCTCACTGCGGCTCGCAAAAGGGCCTTGTCCTGTAGGGAGCTGAAGCGGAGGATGAGGTATGGAGAGGTGGAGGGTGGTGCACCGATTGGTTTGGGGAGACGGAACATACCGTCTAGCCTCATGGTCTTGGCTTGTTTCGGTGGTAGGTGGGCCGCAAAGAAATGCCTGATAAACTGAGGTAAGTCCGGCAGTCCCACCGTTTCCAGCACCCCCCTGAATTTCAAGTTGTACCTTCACCTCTGATCTTCCCGGGCATCAATTCTGTGGTTGATCTTTAGCCGGTGCAGATCCAGGATAGCCAGGCCCTTCTCCACCACAGTAAGCCGGCTGTCATGTGTACTCTGTGTGGTTTCGAGTTGGGCCAGTTTAGTGGTCGTGTGTTCGACGGCCTTTTTGAAGAGGGCTAAGTCTCCCGCTATGTTCACACGGAGTTCTGCCAACATCGCCTTAAGTCGCGCTGCAGTGACCGGGTCCCGGCCTGCTGCGGCCTCCAGTGGGGCATGGCCCTGCTTCGTACCCTGTGCGGTTCTTTCCATTGGGGCAATAGCCATGTCCTCTGAGGAGTATGTAGAGCCGTCGTCCGCCAGCACCATTTTGTCCCAATGCGGCCCTCTTTGAGCTCCGGAATAGGTCTCGATATCACGGCCCAGTGGCCTCTTTTTGGCTTGGGTCTTTAATTTTTATGGCCCATTCTTACTCCTGCAGTCAGGGGGCTGTTTTCTGGGAGGTTATCAGACCACTTTCTCTGCAAGTTCAGCCTTTATTGGGCAGTTTGGAGCGGAGCACAGAGGGCTTGCGACCGTCCAGGTTCACCACTAGGCTCCGCCCTCTAGTCCTCTATTTTGACATGCGTTTTTCTGGATTTTTATTTTTGTTATTCGGTCTCTCACTGTTAAAATACACCTACCATTAAAATTATAGACTGATCATTTCCTTGTCAGTGGACAAACGTTCAAAATCAGCAGGGGATCAAATACTTTTTTCCCTTCACTGTAGAGTTATAACTTATAATGATGAATCAGGGTATTGAACTTCTTATGAAGAACACATTAGTGATTAGGTTTTGATCAAGCCTTATAGTAGATTTAGCATGTAGATAATGCCTATAGTGGCCTCCCTTACACGATTATTATACAAATGTCAAGAGTTTTATGGTGTTCAGATTCAACTGAATCAATCATCCAGGAGTTACCATACACGTATTGATACTTTACCACTAAAAACTTGAAAAGTAAGTGATTTGTTATCAACCTAAACAAATTAAATTCCCTGGGCCGGTGTCCCCAAAACATCTTAATTTAATTGTGCTTTTTTCATTAGTGGCATATCTTGCTTGTAGAGATTGCTCTTACAATGGATTAGAAAATTATAGGAGAATCACACCTGATCCTCCCAAGGATTTCTCATAATGGGATTACACCCCACTTTGGGTTTTTATTTGGGGCACTGTTAAACTATATTCCCTCCGCACACCCAATATATTAACTAAATTTTTTTTCTTTTTTATGTCCTAGTGAGGTGTGTTTGGAATGTTAAAGTAAGACTCTAAACAATGAACCTCTTCATCTCACTAAAACGGTTTTGATACATAAATTCAGTCCTTTCAGTGTTTTTGATGTTTACATTTTGCCAAGAACACGCTTCTAATGGCTGTTTCAATAAATGAAAGTCTTTCGGCATCATGCAGCAAAGCATTATGCCACCGTACGATCTGTCAGGATGATCTCAGAACAGGAGGAAAAGTTGCCCAACTGAGACAGTCCAGTACTGGATGGAAGATCAGTAAAAATGCTGTGGGTTTTCTTGCTGTGGTGCACTCTGGTGCACCCCTACACACTAAAAATCCTGATCTTCCACAAAAGAATGTGAATTCATGATCGGGAAATAGGAGTACTGCTGACTGATGCTTGGAGGTTTGTGTATCCACAATTTTACTTTCCATCTCACACTACAAAAGGATGTTGGTTGAGCTGTTTTGTCCTACGGAGCTCCATAAACATGGAATAACTTTCCAGGAATATTAGATCTGCCTCCATCTTTACGTCCAAGAAAACACTTGGCTCCATCAAACTTTAATCAAGAGGGCGAATAAAATTATTGTTAGTAACTGTATAGCGTATAATTATTATAATGTTATGCATGAAACAAAGTATTTTACGTTACGGAGAGAAATCTCAGTATATTTATTATTCTCAGTCTACCAGTTAATAAATCTATTTCTCTAGCCTTTCTTTGGTACCTCTCTTAGCTTTGCGGAAGCGGCCTCTAGTGGCTGTCTCCCTGAGGATTAACCCTGCAGTGTAAACATAGCAGTTTCTCTGAAAGTGCTATGTTTTCAGCTGCAGGGTTAAAACTAAGGGGACCTGCCACCCAGACCACTTCATTGAGCTGAACTGGTCTGGGTGCCTATAGTGGTCCTTTTAATTATTATGGGAGTGGGAGAGTTCCCACTA